CCCCCTTTCACAGGGCTCCCTGCAATCCAGGGTCCCACCCCCAGGTGACCACACTGGGGCTGGGGAAAGGAGGGTGGGGAGGCAAGATGCAGATATTAGGGTTTAAATGCTCCTTTATCTGGGGTAAATGTTTTACTCAACATCTGTTATCTTACCTTTGGCTCAGGATGCCTTTGTGAGTGTCAGAGCATGATTATGGTCTAGGTCCTAGACTCTAGGAAAAACTGAGTTCTCTTCTGTCTGGGGGCCTTCTAGAAGCGGAAGATCATTGAAAAGGATCGGACCCTCTCCTTCAGTTTTTCACTCTGGTCTATGCTACTTTCAAAGTTTCCTTGGTGCTGAGGTTGAATCTATTTCCCTTATTTTGGTCTCAGCAACTGACAGTAGCTAGTTAGTTATCAATGATCATTCTTGAGGCCTGGAACTAATTCGGTCATTAATCTTCTTCAGGCTAGGTCTAGTTTCATCTTTTTGTCACCTTTCCCAGTTTTCTAAGCTCATCTAGCCTTCTCAAACCTCAGACAAGCTCTGTCCTGCCCTAGTTTGAGTTAGTGTAATCTTATTCTCCTACTTAAATACCCTGTGCTCACTTCAGCTGGCTCGCTGTAGGTAGATTTCTGGAGATTTGATGACCCAGCTCAGGAACTGCCCAAGTCTTTTATTCATTTCTGCTTGGTCTCCTATGATCCAAATATCTGCCTTTTGATCTTATCACAGTTTGATACCCTCAAAATGTGCAGAAACTGACCACGAAGACAAAACGCGAGCCAATCATTCTGCACTCATTAGAAGCTTTGGTGGGCATCCACGAGTCAGTCCAGTTCACAGATTCGCGATGGTTGGTTCCCAGATGTATGGGTTCCTCAGTTATGCAAAACAAAGTTGTAGGAGTTCCTATCTTTTCCTGTTGGTGCTGGAGTTTTTAAAATGATGTCTATCCACAAGAATTATGCAAGAAGAGATCTTGCTGTGGATCATACATTTGGATATTCCCTTCAACAGAACCATTAACCACAAGAAGAGACAGCAGAAAAGAGCTGTCTGACAAAACTTCCTTCTAGAATGCACACATATCAATAACTTCCCGATATATCACCACAATATCCTCTAGATGTCACCTTGAGAACATTCCAGGATAGAAGATGACTGCATTTGCTACCACACAGACAACCTAAAATAGACACATTGGAAACCTTGCATGCCTGGATCAATGGGCTTATTAATAATAATACACACACACACACACACACACATATGTATATATATATTGCCAATTATCTCAAAGATAATGCAGTGCTCCACATTTACTTTAATTCATAAAATGATCTAATTTTTCTTTCGGACAGATTTTCTTCTCCCTTCAGCAGAAACAAAAATCAAAACCTTGCTTTCAAAAGTATTTCTCATGGATCCTGATTTCTCATGAATCCATCTTTCTCCATAAGATCCTCCCCAAAACATTTTCCAATTTCTCAGGCTACTCATCCCATTACCTAAAGCACTGAAGGCAGGAGAGTGTAGCAAAGCTTCAAGGCAGAAATTAGCTATTCCTGGAACATGAAGAGCATTTCATTATGGATGATTATTCAATCAATTGTTTTTCTTTAATATGCCAAGTCTAGAGCAGACCAATGACTGACTCACTGGATCATGCGATTCATTCAAACCAAATGAGCTGTCAGGTAATTCATTAAGGGTTTTAAACACCTGAGTGTGTTTAATCACTTGGAAGACTGGGGAGGAAACAGAGAAAGACTTTCACAAGTGACTTCAGAGAGCTCTGGATTATCTCAGGTGTTGTTTCCCTGCATACAGAGAGACTTAGCCTGGGGGCCTGGTTTTCAAAAATTAAAGAAAAAACTAGGAAAAGCAATCCCTTTGACTAGGGTGTGTTGTAGAAAAGGTTTGCAGAGCCAGTCTCATAGGACTTCTAAGGGGGTCTTTTTCTAATAACCAAGACTTAGCACCACCCAATCAAGAGACTTCCAGAGACTTCCAGAAGTACAGAGATATGAAGAATAAGACCTAACCAACCACAATACTAAAATCGCACGGGGCATGGAGGCACAGGACTCCGTGTTCACTGAGGACAACTGCTAATAGTCGCATGCTGTGTTATCTGTCTCCTTTGGATGACGGGGTAGCTTCCAGGACTGTGTGCAGACAGATGCTGGCCACCGCCAGAGAAGGAAAGAGAACAACTTGTGGAGTGCTGAAAAAGTTCTTTAAAAATAACCCACACTCTCGTAGTTTCACGAGGACTTACTCCTAAACACAAACACAGCTTCCCTTTATAAATCAGTATTATTTTTAGAAGAAAAAAGAGGGAGGGAGATCCTTATTAACCTCATAAGAAGAAGACACGCAGCAGTCACCTTCTTCCAGAGCCAACTGCCAACTTTCCACCCAAATATAAATAATGTTAAAATGGGGAAGGGACCTTACTTATGCAACATTCCCAAATTATACTATTCAGAAAATATTAGCAATTATATATGTCTTGATGCAGAAAATTACAGGTTAAGCAAAATTCCAGAACAGGAAAAAATATGCTCAATATTTCGAAACATGTTTATTAATTAGAGATGTACTCTGACACCTTCTCAAATACTGCTAGGTGAAGCGTTAACAGCAGCAATTTTAAATTCTCAAAACTGAAACTTAACAGTTTTCCCCGGGAATAATAGCATTTTAAAACAATAAAATTACACTTAATGAGAGATTTATAGTCAAAGAATTGCATGTAGGGTGTTTTATAGCCTAACTTTATACACAAAGGTTAGAATACTGATTCTCAGAAATACTTCAGGTCTTTTTTGTTTTTATTATTCTTTTTTTGCTAGCAATGATGGTTTCCCATTTTCATCAAATCTTACTCTTGCCCGGCGATAAGCATTTCCACAAATACAGTTATATACAATTATTAATTAAGGATCAAGTGCAAGGCCCTAAAGGGAATTGGTCCCCAACCAATCAATAGCAATAAGTAATTTATGAAGCAAGATTGTAAATCATTGTTTTAAACCTGAACTGTCAATCATTTCTTTGCTTTCAAGATCCCAGTAATAGAACAGAGGTAAACAAAGTTTTATAGTAAATCGTTTGTTTTAAAATCATCTATTAGGAAAAAAAAAAAAAATCAGGGAGACATGAACATACGTAACTTCCAGAACTCATCTTCTGACAGAAACCCCTCAGGGTGCTGGCACCCAAAACAGGTTAGATAAATGGCTATTTCTAAACCAGGGACAGGGTTTCAGAATGAGCCTTTATCTCTATCTAATAGACGGCTCGCTCCCCCTTCCCTGTCTCTCACAAGTCATAGCTCCAACAGCAAGGCATTTGTGGGATGCCTCCGAACTCCCCCCCCCCCCCCCCAATGGCTCAGCACTCAGGTATGCTTCAGGCTGCTGGGTCCAAGGGGTCAAGAGGACAGGTCAAAGAAAGAAATGCAGGTGCAACCAAGAATCAAGACCTGCCCAGCGTAGTCAAAGAGCTGGAAACAGATTTAAAAACAAACCAGGTCAACACGAGGACATGAAGAACACCCAGGAGGGCGCCAGTATTTCTCAGCATTATCTAAAGACAGCCTTGACATTTCCCAAGACCGAGGAAAGCTCACAGAAGTAGTTTGTGAAGCAACGCCAAGGCTTCACTGTCTGCCCAACCTGAGGTGCAAGGCCCCCTACAGAGGCTAACCCAGGTGACCAGGGAAGGTGGCCGTCTTTGCCTGAATCGCCGTGAAGCAGGAGCTCTGACATTAACCTTGCACTACTTGGGAGACATTTCATTTGCCAGGTTTGTTGTCACCAGGAGGGAAAAGTATTTCAAATAGAAGGCAGTGACCCTGCAAGGGTCATCATCAATCACCTGGGGTCAAAGACCTTCCCGATTGTCAGAAGAGGCAGGGGTGAAGGGAAGGGGGCAAAGGAAAGATCAAAGGGCCTTTGAAGGGGGTTATCCACTACACAGCAGAACCTGTAAAATAGAACTCCTCTGGAGTGGGAAGCCTTCTAGTTCCTCATGAGAGGTCTTTTTATTTTCCTTTCCTTTTTTTCTTTTTAATAGTGAGATGCTTAAGAGGAAGACTGGAGTCAGCAGATGGCAGAAGAGGCACAGAGGCACAGGCTTACCTGGCTGCCAGTTTGAAGGCCTGTCTCTGCAGGGCACACAGTACTATTTCCTTCTTCTGGAGTAAGCGGGGGTGAGGGAGAGGAGGGAAGACTCCGCCGGCTTTGCAGTTACCAAATGGCAGAGTGGCTCAGCCTGAACTGCCTTGCAAAACCGTCCTCCAGCCGATACAAATACTTCTGCTACTTTTCTCTGTAGATGGCCATCGCAAAGGGAGAGAGGCTGGAAAGCAGGCAAGGCCCACGGAAAAGCCGTCAGGGACTGTGGGATTCTTCCTGTGAGCGATGGCATACTTTTTGCTCCTGTTCTCACTGCTTAATGAACCCGAGGTGATTAAAGGAGCAGCTGGGTCCAAAAGGACTACCGGGGTGGCGTGTGAACCAACTCCACTGGGTACAGAGGTAGAGGCAGGGAAGGAGCAACTTGAACTCAGAGAGAGGCAGGAAAAGAGAGCTCCACTGAGCCTTGGTTCCCGCCTGATGGACTTCCTGGGTATATTCAAGGAGACTCATTAACCCCAGGAGGCTCTGTCCTGTCTCCAGGATGCCTTTCCCTATGATCTGGTGAGCGGAGCTATTTCAAGGACACAAACGACGAGCCTTTTAAAAACTCACTGAAGATGTTTATAAACGCAATTATTTTAAGGAATAAAACATATTACAAGCAATGTAACTAGCTTTCAGATGATGGGCTGTTTTCATTAGCCATGCCCCAGATGCCTGGGGCCCACTCCCATTAGCATGGATAATTGAGAATGTGCTGCATTTCCATTTCAGCACAGCCTCTCTAATACCTTTCAGGCACTCCGATGGAAAACCAAACCTCTCGCTCTGGCTTCACCTTGCACGAATTTAGCACGCGGCACTAACCTCTGTACAGTCCAAAGAAGCCTTCGTAGCGTAGCACTTTCTTAAAGCAGTCAAAGCTGTTTTTATACATAAGTTCTCCCACAAAAGAGCCAGTTGATCGCTGGTTCTGCATTCGCGTTTTGACAAGATCGATGGGATACACGGCAGTGGCTCCCACAGCTGAAATCAAATAATACCACCATTTCAGAAGGAATGAAGGTCTGTCCGAGGAAAGGGGGAGGGGGGGAGGGGGCGCAAAGTCAAAGGGGAGACTGGCCAAAGAAAAAAGGTAATTTTGCGTGAACAGATTTTGAAACCATATTAACAATTACCCTTAACAATTCTGGATTTCCACTCAAGTGAATGAAAGGCTAAGAAGTGTCAATTTTCAAGAAGCACATCCCTACCGTCTAACTGCACTGTTAAATATCTGTCTCTAGCAAGCCCATCTGCAGATAAATAAGAGAGAAAGCCACTTCTAAGTCCTTAATCAGGTGCAGAGAGGGGGCAATTCCCTTTGTTCTTGTCCCATTTCACAGGTCCAGACTGACAAGTGGCTTAGGGACAGGCTAGAGGGTGTTTGGTTTTAATATTTCAAGATGGGAAGCCAGAGGAAATATAAGAGGAATAATAAACATGAAAAAGGTGAACTCATTATGATTTACCTCCAGCAACAGAACCCAGACCAAATCTGTAGGCTGATTCTGCGACTTGTTGGAGAACTGGGCGCGATGAATCGACTGGGGCCTTCTGCTTCCCATGCATGGGAAATGGAGAGCGGAAAAGAAGGAGACAAAGTATAAATGAGCACATATTATTTTTTTTAAATCACCCACTAGTTTCTAAATTCATGATACAACTGAAATGTCAAAGAGGAAATGGGTTAGGTTCAGTAAGTGGTGTTTTTTCCTTATTTTTTTTTTTAACTTTTAAATCCCCACCTAAGAATATGTCTTTTATTAATTTTTAGAGAGTGAGAGAGACATTGATCAGTTGCCTCCTTACAAGTATACAGAGTTGTCAAAGGAAGGTGGCATACAGTTAGTGCTTACTAAATGCCTATTGAATGAGTAAAAAAATTAGGTAAAATTTGATATTTCAAAAGCCACGATAATTAAAATTGGTGAGCCACAAAAATAATTACCAACCCCAGCCATCAACCCAATGAATTTTAGTCACTATTAAAGTAACACAATTCTAGGCTGGTCCGAGTGCAGTGGTATCTAAAGTAACACAATTCTAACACAATGAGGTAATTTGCAATATCCTTCACAGTCATTTCACTGAAAATAACTTTACATAGAAATAGGCATCTTTTTGAACACAAAACATTTCTTCTGCAAATTGTATGGGGTATTTCCAACTCTATCCCTGTACAGACGGACATCAATAGTAACTTCATTTTAATAGATGCAGCTATAAGAAAGGTATTTGTCTTAGTCACGTGGATACAAATATGCCATGAGAATGAACAAATAGAACAGAACAAAAACAGACTCAGAAACAAAAAACAAACAGAAGGGGTGGGTGGAGAGACACAGGTAAAAGTGGTGAAGGTGAATATTGTCAATAATGATCAGTAACTCTGCATGGTGACAGGAGGTTACCAGCCTGAGAGTGGTGAGCACATTGTAAGATACATATATGTCAAATCACTATGTTGTACACCTGAAACTAACACAATACTCTATGCCAACTGTACTTTAACTCAAAAAAAAAAAAAGACAAAAAATGTGCAATGCTTAGCAAAATTCTGGTATCAAAATAACAAGTGAACATATTCTGAAAATAATAGGGTGGGAAGAATCTACCACTATCACTAACTCTTCATTTAAAAGATTAAATAAATGAAACCCCAGACTTATATTTAACTTTTCTGACACTAGAAGTGCAGCAGGTCATGAATGAGACAAGCAAGAATGCTCCTCCCTGCACGCCTGTGATGAGGATGAATGTTAGCACAGAACCTACTGGGTGGACGACCTCTGTCAATGTGGTCAGGTCTAGTGGGGCTCAGAGTAAAGAATATTCTTGGCAAGGCCCTCATGAATTGCTCCGAACCTCTCAGCAGCAGCCAGCCATCTCCCACTGTAAAGCTCATCAACCACCTCAAACCCACTCACAGCCAGTATCAATAAACACCCATTGCAAACTCTCAAACACTGGAGAACAGGAGGGAATCTAAAAATTACACAAAAAATAAAAGTCCTGCCCGGCCGGCATGGCTCAGTGGTTGAGTGTCAACCTATGAACTAGGAGGTCACGATTCAATTCCTGGTCTGGGCACATGCCGGGGCTGTGGGCTCAATCCCCAGCAAGGAGAGTGCAAGAGGCAGCCAGTCAATGACTCTCTCTCATCATTGATGTTTCTATCTCTCTCTCTGCCTTCCTGTCTGAAATCAATAGAAATATATTTAAACAAACAAACAAATAAAAGTCCTACTTCTTAATCCCCAAATTTCTACAACTAGTAGCAGAGACACTGGTCAGCAGTATTTAAAAATCAGAGGGAGAAGAGTGAAGGTTGCTTCCATTTCTGCACAGATTATCCCGTTCCCTGTCCTGCACTCGGTAGATCGGCTTCCTCTTTTAACAGCAGCCAGCTGGTTTCCCAGAGGTGCCCCGTGAGGATTTACTGAGCACACACCCACCGCTCTGAGTTACACGATGCACACAAGACTCGCCGCTGCCCTGGGGTGGGAAGGAGCTGAAAGGAGGGGGTCCTGGCTTGAGGCCTGCCAGTCCTAAAAATGTAGCCCGCATAAACCCATTGTGGTCAAACTGGCGTCTCTGCACAGACCCAGAGCTCCCAGCCAAAAACTGTTAAGTCTCACAGGATTCAGAGATGGCTTTGCCTTAAAGGATCTCTTTTTCTAAAATGCCGCTGGTCTGTGAGTGGATTTATTTTACAAACACCATGGAAGGGCAACCACCCCATGAAGGCTTTGATTCTCTAATCCTGATCTACGGAGAGGCGAGCAAGAGTTACATGAGGGGGTCCCCAGGTCTTCAGTTTCCGACGCCCACCCCTGCAAGAGATTGGTTTCTGTTAACCATAAAATAAAACGTAGCATTCCTCGAATTGTTTCCACATAACTTAGGAATCCTTTCATAGAAAAAAAAAAAGAAAAAAAGAGGTCTAAAAGCTTTCAAACTATGGCTCCAGACTAAACAAAATTATCTCCTTCTGATACTCACGGAAGGCATGGCCGTGGGCAACGCGCTGGAGAAGAACCTCTCTGCAGAGCAAAGGCGACTCCCACTTGGCGACAGGCAGCTTTGCTGGGACAGCGACCCCAGAACAGGACTCCTGCCCCACATCTCACAACCGAGACTTAGGGAAGAGGCAAGGATCTCCTGCCTGTTTTTGGAGGGTTAGGTTTCCCATGCCACTGGGAAATCACCTCACCTTTGTGTGTGGGTGTGGGTGGGGGAGGAAGGGGGAGGAGGTAAGCAAAAATGCCCCCTAGCTGCTAAGCACAACATCCCCAAGTCATTTTTCTTTTCAGCCTCTATAAAGTGTCAGGATTTGGGGTGCAACATGAAAAAATGGGCAGTCAGACACCAGCGTCAGAAAGGCAACAGCATAGGAAAAGGGATGACGGGGTCCTCTACCAAAGAGATACCAGGAAGCACACACCCACCTGCCTCTGGGCCTCGGCCAACTTGAAGGGCAGAGTTCCCTCTTCCAGAGGAGCGATTCGCTCAATGTCTGCTAAGGTCATCCGTCTGGAAGGAGGAAAACAAACAAGAACAAGCAACAACAACATGCAAATTGATTTAAATGATGTACCTTACAGAACCTTAAAACATTCCCTTTTTCGGTTCCCATATTTCAGAGTCATCTTTAATCTGGCTTATTTTTCTCCCAGTATGCTGCCCTCCTCCTACCCCGCCTCCTAACCTCTTTTTATTAAGCTAATTAAAAAAAAGGGGGGGGGCAACTTACCCCCGGGGCTCATATAAATCTGCTAACTGAAACAAGATGTCAACTTCCATGGCTGTAATCTGACCAAATTTCTGAGCTGCCAGAACAAACTCCTCTGTGTGGAAAAAGAGTCAAAAAGGGAAAGATTCAAAGAGTAGCCACTACATGCAGCACTCACTCAAGGCGCTGGAGTGAGGGAACATCACAAAACGTTATCATCGTTAGTGGCAGAATTCAAGTCAATCCAAACAGGGTAAGCATTGGAGAGTGCTCCCATTTGTTTGGGAAGAGGGGGCCCAGGAGTGTTTCTAACATTGACTTCAAAGCCTGGTGTCATCTGACGACTCTGAATAAATGACAAGGATGTTTTCCAAACTGCAGGTCAAGGAAAACTAGGAAACAACCATGAAATATCATATGCATAGATCCCAAGAGGTTATATCAATGGGGCTGTGGAATTCCTAAGCAAATTCTGTTAAAAATAAAAATAATAAAAAATGCTGGTATGTGGTTGTAAGACTGTAGATCAATTTGCACTGCTACCAGTGTAAGTTTATTGCAAGATTTGAAAACATTTAAGAAACTTTACACAGTTCCCTCACTCAAAGACTGTCTCTGGCTTATTTAAAACTTGCTGAAGCCCGGCCAGTGTGGCTCAGTGGGTGAGAGTAGACCAATGAACCAGGCGGTCACTATAGGATTCCTGGTCAGGCAGGGCACACGCCTGGGTGGTGGATTTGATCCCTAGTAGGGGGCTTGCAGGAGGCAGCCCATCAAGGATTCTCTCTCACATCTTTCTGTCTCTCCCTATTTCCTTTCTCTCAGAAATCAATAAAAATAAGTTTTTAAAAAACACACAATTTGCCAAAGATTGCTTTGTTTGCTTCTGTCTAATCAAAGGATGGAGAACACACATATACCATAGGGCTAATATGAAATAAAAGATAATGAAATTTAAAAATCTACAAAACTTCTTGTTACCTTTTTCACTCTAATAATGATACACCAAGATACTTGCAGGCAAGAGTTCAGATTTATTCTCACTCACCCTTAGTCACCTCCACGTCTTTCCTGTTGCCGGCCAGAGTGCTGTAGATCTTTCTAATGAGTTCCATGTTGTTAAGAAGTGAATTAAATCCATTAAAATAGGAGAAACTGACCTGATGGGATGTGGTACCTCCAGCAGCCTTAAATAAGTTGAAAATAACAGAGAGAAGAATAAAGACAAATAAAGTATTTATAGAATGAAGAAGATTCAAAAGTACAAACAGCAAACACCAGTGATTGGGAATACATATATAAGAAGAAAGAGCCATAAGTGTTTTTGTTACATTAAAAAAATCTATAAATAATTTTTAGAAGTAACTGCAACTAATCATGACCAGAACTTGTACTCTCCACCCACAGTCCTAGAAAACTAAATAAATACATGTGTAGGTTATAACAACAGGACCAGTAGTAATTTACAGAGTTCAAATTTCCATTGGAAATGTTTTATAAGTTTGTTTATTTCATCTAATGAGCAATTCTTAAAGGCTCAGACATGCAAAACCATATTACACACATGTGTGTGCTTATACATGCAAAACTCTATTATACCAATACAAACATGATATGAGAAGTGGTCAATTTGACATTAATATCATGATTTGTCATGTTACTCATAACTAGCAATAAATAATCATTTATGTAAAGACTTTACAGCCGTGGGATTTCTAGCAAACCGGCGTATGATGGTAAAATTATGAGATGCCATATGCTTTGATGGAATGTTAAGACTGGTCAGAATTCTGATAGTCAAAATTTGTAAGAACCCATATTTCTTCACCGGGGACAGGGGAAACAGACAACATGTCCCATTATGAATGGAACTTGTTTGGGGGTTTCAAATTCTAGCCTTCCCTAACAAGGCAAAATATTTTTATTAGAAAAGCACTTCTTTATAATGTAACAACCACATAAATCTCCACTGAGTAATCATTTCGAATAGCTGACATGGGAGTTTAGGATGGAGTAGGGAAGGGGTGGAGGACAAAAAAAAAAAAAAAAAAAGGAGCTAGATTAACACAGTGCCAGAGCGGAAAGGGCCTTGTCAGAATGCCACATTTCCAAAAAGAGGTACCAGGAAAAGAAAAAGAAAAATGAAAAGCTAGCCTAAGCTCCCGCCTGTGGGAAACACTGTGAGAAATGCCCAGGATGGTGAAAACACCCAAAATATCTTTTCCCTGTGATGAACAGAGCGATATCATTGGATAAGTGTTCCCAAATTTGTGTGACCATCAGAATTATCAAGGAAGCTTCAGAAGTAGGTTCTAGGGTCTTACCACCTGTAGATGGTGAATTAGATCTGGGAAGAACCCTAGAATTGGTATTTTTTATAATTATCTGTGGTGATTCTTATGGCTGGATCTCTACGGGGAGGAAACTCTGCGACACAGGCCAGCAGGGCTCTGCCCATCAGGAGTCACTGCTGAATGACCGACCAAGTAAATATGAGATTGAGAGTCTGTGTTCTGCTGACCTCTCAAATACATCTATACAAACAGCTAAAAAAAATATATATATTTTTGCCTTGGAGAATAGATAAAAGCAAAGATGAGTATTTGACACACCTCAAAATATAAAACAGAATATGCAATCATAAATTTGTTTTTCCTTTATTATTATTATTTTTTTAATATATTTTATTGATTTTTTTACAGGGAGGAAGAGAGAGGGATAGAGAGTTAAAAACATCGATGAGAGAGAAACATCAATCAGCAGCCTCTTGCACATAACCCACTGGGGATGTGCCCGCAACCAAGGTACATGCCCTTGACCGGAATCGAACCCGGGACCTTTCAGTCTGCAGGCCGACACTCTATCCACTGAGCCAAACCGGCTTTGGCTGTTTTTCCTTTTTTAAAAAACCAGCTAATATGTTTTCTTCAAGATATTCTTGTCCAAATAACAAATTAACTTACCCATTAAAACTAGCCAAACCATACAGACTTTAACTTGAGTAATGTATGCGATCACATTAACAAAACGTTTGTTTTTAAATAGAAAAACTTCTAAATAATATGTAAGAGCTGGCCTTATAATCCCTTATTCTCTGAGCTCATGCCAGGTAGAATACATTATTTCATTGGGGCAAGTTACACTTACAGCTACTAGACATTCTTCTACAAAAGGTGTCAAGACATGGGGGCGGATGGTGACCATGATGTCTCGGAAGTCAATGGCTGTGACTTTTCCGGTCCTGGCATTGTCCCTCTGCACAAAGGCTTGCTTTGCATGCTCCAACTGTATTTCCTACAAACGAAAAAGTTAAAATAATTTACATTTCTCAATTACTACAGATAACAGCTCAACTTCAAGTTAGGGTAAAGAAAGAGAGATTACATCTTGGATTCACTAGCTTCATCAGCCTGTTAAAATAGCACTCCCCTTTCCCAAGCTATTGTCTTCTTCCAAACACAGAATGTTGCTTGGCCCAGTGAACGTGTCCTAGAAGTGCATTCTACCTTACATCTCCCACCAAAGACACCACATCACCTCTATACTCTGCTAGAGTCCTAGGACACTAAGGTAATAAAGTGGGATGAAGGTTGGTAGGCTCAAAGATCTAATCAAAAACAACTTAGGTGACACAGAAGATCAAAGAAAATACACCTGCAGGGACATCATCTCTCTCCAAAGAGAGAAAAATTCTCAGTGGAAACCCAGCATACACACACATGACGCAACAACATATTGAAAGGGTGGTTCCCCTCTGAAATATGTGATTCCTCTACTATGGGGTTCCTCAGCCTTGACGCTATTGGTAGTTTGGGCAAGTTAAGCAGGTGAGCCATATCAGCCAGGGCAGCATTGCTGGTTTTGACTTAGCCTGTCCTTGCTGAAACTTTCTTCTGAAACTCTATCTTTGTAATGCCCCTTCCATTCACGCCTTAAATGAGAGGCATATGTCAGCCAATGGTCCTCTGTCCTCAGTGAGAAAACCTGAGAACAGATGGGAAAAGGCCAAGGCCTCCCTCCCAAGACCTCAGAGTTCTTAGAAGGTTTGAGTCCCAGATCCAAATCTCTCGCTCCTGTCTGCTGGACCAGAATTCCTACTGCTTAGAGAACATACCCATGTGTGTATCTTATAAAAGCCATAAAATTACACATCAGTAAACCCACTATTAGATGTCCCCCACCCAGCCCTCAAACCTGGTCCTGCTCCTATGTTCAGAGCTTAATTATTGGCATGCTGTTTTTTCTGGTCACCCAACCTAGAAATCTGTCCATTTTAATTCTTCAAGCTTCCTTTCCCCCAGGGAAAACTAGTTACCAAAACCTTTGAAAGTTCCCTCAAATGCATCTTCTCTTTTCACTCCTGATGCCACTGTTCCCGGCCCTCCCCGAACCATGCCTGATTTCCACTGTGGGTGCACCTGCCAGCTGGCACTTTGACCTCTGCAGTCCCTCCTGCACTCACACACACACACACACACACACACACACACACTCGCATCGACAGCTGCCTTTCAGAATCTCAGATCCGACCTCCATCCCCTCCTCAGAAACCTTCAACAGCCTTTCGTCATGAAGACCCATCTCTGGGGCACAGTGCTCACGGTCCTCCAAGAAGCCTCTCTCAGCCTTGTCTCCAGCACCCCACGCCCAGCCCCCCAGACTTCCACACATGCGGGCCTTTGTCTACACTCTTCCTCCACCTCACGTTGACAGCAGCTTTTTTCTCTAGTCCCTGAAATCCTACCGCCTCCACCAGGCGCAGCTCAGATGCCACCTCTTAGGCTAATGTATCTAGGCCTCCGACCTGAGAGCAACGGCTCACCTGGCCCCCTGCTTGAACGTCAATGGTATGACTTGCCTTTCCCCACCCTACGCCCTTGTAGGGGAAAAGAGACTCTATGCCCTGTTCATCCCAGTCATGGTGTAGGCAGACTGCTTCAGGGAGAGTAGGCACTCGGTAAACCAGAGAATAAACAGAATCAGAAAAAAACTATAAAACCAATTGAATAAGTAAATCATGTTCCATGAAAAAAAGGGGGGGGGGAGGGTTTCTCTGAACAACTGCCTCCAATTTAAGAGGGGGAAAAAAACAACCACCGTAAAACGCCCTGTGGAGAAGAATGGCCACAGTACACACAGTAGGTCCTCGGGTTATGTCGGAGACCCATTTCTATGGTGCGACATAACAGGATTTTTGCTGTAAGTCAGAACCCACCTATGTCACTCATATGGACACATACAAAGCAGCATGTAGTGAAACAGTAACAAACATTTAAAAGAAAGATAACAATTCCTGATCTTTACTTGTGGTAAATAAATAATAAAAAACATAAAGCGCGTATGTACATACGTTGAAATGATGGAACTTTTTTTAATAAATAAATGGGAGATGGCAACATAACCATGAAAAGATGTACATCGAGTCCAACATAACCCAAGGACTGCCTGTGTTCAACTGACAATAAATGAACACACAATTGCAGACCCAGTGCTAAATTAGCTATCCTAATCCAAGATGACTCTCAGCCGTAGTAGGTGTGTTAGGTTATGTGCCTTTTCCCTTGTTTATAACTCAGAGTTTTAAGGATCCTCAGGCCATGATACCCAAAACAGCATCCCTTCCCCTGGCCACCCACCTCCTCAGAAAGCACAGTAAGGCCCTCCTGACCAGACTGTCAGGTGGGAGAGGAGCAGCACTGTCACATGGCAAGGTGGCGCCTGCCCTGCAAAGCAGGGAGCACACCTGTATTGAGGGTGGGTTCACTACACGTTTGAGTGCCTGAGCTTCCGGGGGTAAACGTTTACTAGCAGGGATCCCGGATCATGGAACAAGAAAGCCTTTAACCCTACTAACGATGAACAGCTTAAGAATGCATTTCTCACAGCCCTTAAAGACGGGACACTATAAATTCCTCGAAAAACAAGAAGCCAGACCTACCTAGGCTTCGACATAATGGGCCAGAGTGAAAACATTGAGGTGTTTCCACAGACTTAAAAGAAGCTTACTACAGATGTGGGTGCCTTCCGAAGAACAGCTGTTCATGCTGCGACTGTTTCTTCTTCTGGGTGAAGAAATGAAAACGGTTACCTCAAACGCTACAATCACCATGATACAGCATTTAGTGAGCATCTGTTATGTGTTGGACACTGTTCTCAAGCAGTTTATAGTAATAAACTCACTCAGTGCTCCTGGCAACCCTACAAGGTCCATGCCGTTTTTCACTTCACTGTAACGGTTGAAAATGCGGTCTCACAGACAGGAAGCAGCAAAGCTGGAATTCAAACCCATGCAGTTCCTCCCCTTGGACGATGCTCCTAACACTGCATTGCACTGCACGGGGAGTCCAGTAATGCTGCTGGCAGGAATCGGATCACAAAGTTGACGCTTAGAAACCTTAATAGCTATGAAGAGATAAAATTCAATTTTCTTTTAAATTATTCTCAATGCTCTAGATTTTCCTATTGCCTATTTTCATGAGAAAACAATAAAATTCTTGATACTTTTTCATTAAGATAAAACTATGCGCTCAGAGTGACAGCATTGTCTGCCCAACAACAGCAGATACCAGGGAGGGCAGAAACCACATCTAAAAGGCTTCTGCTGGCCTCGCTCGCTGTTGACTCATTTTCTCACAATCCCAAGAGACTGAGAAGGAGAAAGACAAATGAGGAGGCCCTGAGAGCTCACACATAGATGGTCTATAAATACTTAGAGAATAAATGACATTGGCAATAAATATCCAGACTCCAAACACATGGCAGTGACTTCAAGCTCTCCACTGGCACCTCTGAAGCTATTTATAAACAACCTAATGTGGACTTGGGGCTGCTTCCTAGATCTGAGCCCAGAGGGATAAAACTGGGACAGAGGATGTTTGCTATGCATGGAATAGAACATACATAAGATAACTTTCATTTGTAAAGCGAAGAGGACCAGAATGGATAAACTCCTCATCCATGTGGCAGGGGTAAGAACAATGGGAGAAGCTATCATTACATTCAAATATTTAAAACTTAAAGGACTATCAGATTAAAAAAAAAGAAGACAAGAAACATGTTATACTGACTTTCTGTAGTTCTTAAAAATCAATCAATGGAGAGAAAATATAGGGATCGGGTTTTAGCACAAGCACAGAATTATTTAACCTGTCTAAATATTCAGCAATAAATGGGATTGACTACCCTGCAAAGTAGCAGGTTCTCTCCCAGTCATGGGAAATATCTGTTCGACTAAGGAGCATATGTCAAGACATTATTTTATTTACTTTAATATAGGGAGTTATGGAAGCAATATGTTATGATGACAACAATCCGAAGTCTGAAAAGCTGCAGTTTGAAACAGGAATGAATGGGCAGAGCTCAAATATCAGTCCCAGCACTCCCGGCTGGGAGGGCTCAGGGCCTTGTGTTTGCATCTTAGAGCCCCAGCAACAACTGGGTTGTAAAAATGAGGCATCATGCATTACAGGTGCTTAGTAAATGGTAGCTTTGATTTTTGTAGAGGTGAATGGTTTCAAAACCTCTAAAGTCCTTTCCAACATAAGCCATTTGGGTCCTTCAAGAGAAAAAAAAATCATGAGTAAGAAACAGCCATTGTGCTGAGTCATCTTAAACAGCCACGGGAGATGAAGACCAGACAGGGTGGGGAATGACAGTAACAGCTGGAGGTTTAAGCATCTACTGCCGGCCAGAGGAGATGCCAAGAACGCCAAAGGCGGTATTTCATTTAAGCCTCACAATCATTCTTCAAAGTAATAATTTTATCTTCATCTGACAGAGGCACTTGAAGCTCATGGAGGCTAAGTAACAGGTCTAAAGTCACACAGCCAGGAGGAGCCTGATTCCAAACAGATTTTTCCACGACTGACTTAAGCTGCCCTGGGTAAAATCTCTGTCCAAGGATCCTAAGTCAATCTGGAAAAGGGAGTTAAAGAAAAAGTTGCAGTGCCCACTTGTATGTAAAAATAGGAGCAAGATGTAACTCAAAGAATCCCCACTGTGGATGGTGGGGAAGACAGAAGCCTTTACCACAAAGGTGAATACTTGAGAGGAAAGCGATGTGGTTGGTTGACCATGATGAGAAACTTGGGGGTGAGATGAGTTTAAGTTATAAATAAAAGGTAAGCTACAAACAAAAGAAAGCTAGAGGTATGGGTAGAAACATAAATCTGGGAGATGTAGATAGCAGGATTTTAGGGAGAAATCCAAAGGACTAACGTTTAAGTGTTTTTAAGTGTTGCTATGCCCCAGGGACTGTTGTGCTATCTTCCTTCATCTCTTCGCATCCACCCAAC